TTTTAATTTTTAATATTAATATTAAAATCCGCACATTAGATTTGTTAAAAAATTTTGCGCACACAAAATTTTGTGTATAATTTTTCTGCTTTTCTTCATTATAGAGAGTGTTTACTAATATGTTTGTTATATAAAGAGAATGGAAGTTCATTATAGAGAGATTTGCCTGTTTATTTTATTTTTTGCTTACTAATGGAGGTCACAGAAGAAAAGGACAATGATATAATAAATAACTGATACTAACGTGAAATGTACAGTGTATCTCTAACACCCATATTCGTAAAAAATGTATGCAGAAAAAAAGTTGTAATGGTGATCTTTTAAATTCAAAGTCATATCCGTGTAAGTAAAAAGGAAGCCACCGAACTCTTAACTCAACTCGAACAAAACTGACAAGCTGACCGTGATACCTGAGAAAGAGAACGGGGAGAATTAACAGAAAATCACCAAGCAGAAAGGTCAACTCTTAGTCAAACCATTACTAATCTGACCGAACAAAATGAGCAAAAACAAACTAAAATCAACCAACTTAATGAGTGAAGCCAAGGCCAACATCAGCGAATTAAAGAACTAGAAGCCACCGAACAAAATCTCCGGCAAGAAAAAGCCAACTTAATCATCCAACACCAAACTAACCTGCAAAAAGAGCAACTTGAAAAAAAATTTATAATAAAGGATGGAAGGCGATTTCAAAGTCGTAAGAGGTATCTATTCCCAAATGTAGTTTTCCACTATTTCCCCTCATTTAAAAATAATGTCTCGTTTGAAGTCCTCCCTCACTTGTGAAAGATGTTTCCTCTTTTCTCTGTACATACCTACCTTATGCACATAAATTTATTTATTAAATATAACTTATTAACCCAGCATTATCCGATTTTGTGGAAGGTCCTGATCATACAGGTAAAAACGCGGCTTATTTTGAAGAATGGATAAAAAATTAAATTATTTTTTTGTTTTGAAATAGAAATGATATTTCATTATAGCAAATGTTCCTACAGTAATAAATCCAGATGATGTAATTATAGAAGTCGGACCAACTAATAAGATTGTTTATATATCAGGTGTTTT